TTAGAAGTGTGGAGGCTGGGGGAGCCCCAAGGGGCCCCATCCCAGCTTGGGGCATAAGAAGAGTCACAAAGTGGAGGAGGAGGATGTATGATTTGGGTTTCTTGAAGGAGTAGGAGGAGGTGGCTGGATAGGGAAGGTATTCCAGGTGGAAGGAACAGCATATGTAGAGACCTGGAAGTACGCATTTATGGAACGCAGCTCAGCCAAGGGTGGCTGGAATGTGAGTGGGGGATGAATTCAAGGCCAGCCTGAGATATTCAGACTGCCCTGCTCTGCGGCCCACCTGCCCGTATGGTGAGACTTAGTTCCTTTTGCCAGAGATTGATGTAGACAGAAAGATACGAAGGGAGAGTTAAGGCCACCCTGAGGGAGAAGGAGACTATGAAGCAGGTAGGTTTCTGGCCCAACCTGTAGGGCCTGAGCCTCCTTCAGCCATAGCCAGGGTGAGGGAGTTGTGCTGATGGCATGTGGGGTGGCTCTCCTTACTGAATGATTAGTGACCTCAGAAGCAGATCAGAGGGGAAACGAAGCTCGGAGGTGAAGTGACCTGCTTTGTGAGGTCACGGACTGCTGAGTGGTCAAGCTGGGATTCCAGCCCAGGTCTGCCGGCTCCCAAGCGCTGTTAGCTAGAGCGACCACACACGCATCTCATTTTCTGCTACAGGCCCTGTTTACATCTGTTGGCATGACATAGTTAATAGTGCCTCTCGGAAATGTTCTGGTGTATGCAACTAATTATATGGTCCCCCTACTCTTACCCATTCTGGCTTGGGACCCTCACGTGTGTCCCAACCCCTATGTGTGAAGTAGGCTGTGTGTATTTGCCCTAATCCAGCAAGACAAACCTTTAACATAGACTGAGGGCCCAGGCTGGGGTGGATCAGCCCCTGCCCATGAATGCCCAGTCTTGCTGTGGGCATAGTGGGGAGAGCAGAGGGGTCCACATGCCACTTGGATAGAGGAGAAAGGGGCTGACAGAGCAGGGGAGCCACGGGTGGGGGCCGGGGGAAAGCAGCTCTGCATCGGTATCTTGGAGGCTGCCTAGAGGCCAGGCCTGTTGAGCCGTGTTTGTGTGATTTGTGTACAGATGGGCTCTCCATGGACAGAGATGGTAGGGAGAGGGCAGTGAGGAAGAAGGAGCCATTTGAGCAAAGGCGTACCAGTCGGACACTGAGCAAGCACATGTTTAGGGTTGGGGCTGATCTTCTGGTCTGTGGGTCAGCGGTCAGTGGGAAACATTCCAGCTGGGCCTCAGCTGCAGATTGGAGCTGGGGCTGTTCTTGGGCCTGCAGGCACCGAGTGGCCAGGATTCCAGCTGGGGCTGGAGCACTCTATGGACTCTGTCCCTTCCCCTGGGGTTTTCCCACATGCTGTGCTTTCCTGACAACTTCTCCTTTTCTGGGCCCTGACTCAGCACAGCCTGGTTCCTGTGGTAGGCAGGCAGGGGTGCGCCAGGAGCTTCCCGGAGGAGGTGGCTAGAATCAAGTCTGGAGGTTCATGAGGGGCCCCCTTGCTCCTGCCTTCTTGGCACATAGTCCTTTTCCTGTGAAGGCTCTGCTGGAAGAAGAGCCCTTTGCACCTGTTACCTCTCCCTTCTTGCCATGGTCACAACAAATATCAGAGCTGTGATCATTTTCCCTCTTGGACCAAACATCAGCTCCAGAGCTGCCTAGATTCTGAGTTGGGATGGGGCGTGAGGAGGTCAGCCTCAAAGAAGCCGTCAGATCCTGGCTGTGGCCTCATTTGCCTCACACTGGTGATTGAACTTGCAGGCTGTGATGCTAGACTACCTGGGTGTAAATCCCAGCTGTGGGGTGGAGGTCAAATTACTCTGTGTCTCTGTGCCTCAGTTTCCTCAGCTGTAAAGTGGAGAGAACAATAAGCCATACCTTGTAGAGCCCTTGTGATGAGGAGCTGAATTAATTCAGATGAAGTACTTTGAAGACTGTTGGGAATACATATACACACACAATAAGAATTAATCCAGGTGTTCACTTACTTCCTAATCCCTGCTGAGTGCTGGGCTCACCATAGTGCATCAGGTAGTGTGGCATTTGCCTCAGGGAGCCCACATGCTGGGGAGGCCTCAGATGGGCAAATGGGCAGGATGGTGATGGGGGAGAACTGGGGGCCAGAGGTGGTAGGACCAAGGCTGCTTGGACTCTGAGGATGCTGTGTTGCCACCACGTTCCCCTCAGTGCTGGCTCTCAGTCCTGGGGGAGGCTGGGAAACCAGGCCCACTCAGCCCTGCTTGGCTGGAAGGGGTGGAACCTGACCCCACCTCCTCTGGGCCAGTCTGACTGGTCCTGGCCTGACAACTTGGAGTTCTGCTCTCAGCTGATCAGGCCAGGCCCTCAAGGGCCTCTTCTTAGAGTCTGGGAGGCTGTGTGTGACTTGCCTGTCGAGAGGTCAAGGGCATTGCACCCTTGGGCCTTTAAGGACTCACTCAGTCTCTTGGTCATCATTCGCCCTTTCATTTGCTTTCCTCCCAACTTTCACCCATCCATCCTACCTATTCACCCATCTGTCCATTCACCCACTTACTCTGTTGTCCATTCATTGTCTGTCTGCTCACCCACCCACCCATTCAACATGCTCTTGTTGCTGACTCAGCCACGCCCTGTACTGGGCTGTGAGGATAAAGAAGTCCAATGCTGCCCCTGCCCTAAAGAGACTCAGGGTCAAGTTGGAGAGATGCCTGGTGCAGTACCCACAGGGCATCTTCTCAGGTCCAGCTGAACATTCATGCCCATAAGACTAACATGAGCCCCTGTGGCATCAGATTCCCTGAGAAGCATATAGGAAGGGAACAGCTGGCCACCAGGGCAGAGGCAGTTTTCCTTTGCTGTGGGGTCCTCATGGCAGTCAGTGCCACTGTTCACACAGCCGGATAGGAGCCATTCTCTGTGACCTTCTAGGGGACAGCTCAGGGGGCACTGAGACTCACAGTGGACAGGTGTGAGAGCCACTCTGGCTTAGAAAGTCTTGCCCCAAGGGGCTAGTATGTCTTGTAAAAACCCCACTGGTGCGGGTTTAGGTCTCTACGTGGGATGTGCCCAGTACAAGCCACCACATTCAGAGGAGCCCAAAACTCCTGCGTCTTCACCGTGGCGACCACTTACAGTTTCTCCCCATCCAGTGCGGCTCCTCACTCAGGCCCACTTCGCCAACGGCAGCGTCACCTCAGAACAGGGCTGACATGCCACCTTTGGCAGGTTTCTAGGGGAACAGAGTAAGGAAGGAAGCTAGCTGAAGGTCAGGTTCTCACACAGAAAGGAAGAGTTTCATTTGTTCTTTGCTCACACAGGGAGAAGAGGCGGTTAGTGGTGATGCGGCAGTAGCCATGTGTCCTAAGAAGCACATAGACTGTAGAATCAGGGGTCAGTTCCTGGCTGAGATGTCAGCACGATGGTCTAAAGCTCATACAGAAGGAAACATGGGCAGGGACGGCGTGGAGCATGAAGGAGGCGTCAGGAAAACTTCCAGAGTTTGGAGTTAAAGGATAAGTAGCTGTTCCCCAGGCAGAGACCAGGGAGAAGGATATTCTTGGAGGAGGCAACAGCAGGAGCAAAGGCTGACATCATGGTCACACCCCAGCCCTTCCTTGCTTTTGTAGGCAGTCACTGCCAGGAACGTTGGGCAATAGACCGGGCTGAAAATAACCCGTGGGGAAGGTTGCTCATACACGCTGGTGCCCCTCCTCGGCCCCTGCCGGACACTAGCAGAGGCAGTGGGTGGGGCCAGGGCTGTAAGGCTCAGGCATCTCGTTCCAACTGGCGGCCCCTGTGCATCCAGTGTGTTGGCATCCGACTCTCCTTGTCTTGGTTAATCTTCCAACCACCCTGGCAGGTTGAAAATAGAGTCCCCATTCTACAGAAGAGGAAACAGGTTCACAGAGGCTAGTTGCTTACCCTGGGACACAGGACCTAAGGCCGAGGCAAGGTTCTAACCCACATCTCTGGTGCCAGAGCCCTTTGGGAGACTTTCAGCCTGCAGGGAGCAGTCTGATCTGTGCTGAGACAGACAGACAGGAGCACTGTGGCTGTGGGAGCCCAGGGGTCTGCGAAGGAGAGTTGGGGAAGGATTCCTGGGGGAGCGATAGCAGAGGTGGGGAACTGGTGTGCTCTAAGAGGAGTGGGGTGGGATCAGGTGAGTTTGCGAGGTCTGGGGCATCTGGGGTTGGTGAATATCTGTGTCTGGGACAAGAGAGAAGGTCAGAGACCCACAGCTTGGGGCCTCTGGACTTGGTTTCTGAAGCTCTGATCTGCTCCCTTGGCCTCAACGCCCATTTCATTTCTCCCTCAACCATTTGCCAACATACGACTTCTTATCCTTAGAAGCTCAGCTCAAGCCTCACCTCGTCCAGCCTTCCCTGACTCCCCAGGCTAGGATGTAAACCACCCACATGCCATTCTGGTCTTTTTTTTTTTTTTTAAATCCTCACCCAAGGATATTTTCCCATTGACTTTTAGAGAGAGAGAAAGACAGAGAAATATTGATGTGAGAGAAACACATTGATTGTTTGCCTCCTGCACAAGGCCTGACCAGGGCCCAGGCTGGGTAGGAACTTGCAACAGAACTATGTGCCCTTGACCGGGATCGAACCCAGGACTCTTCGGTCCACAGGCCTACACTCTATCCACTGAGCCAAACCGGCTAGGGCACACCATCTGGTCTTCATTCCTCTCTTAGAGGGGTGCATGTGGCTAAAAGCTAGAGCTCTGGGACAGGTGACCACGTCACAGCGTTGCAGCCAGGGGAGGTGCCTACTTCCTTTAGGCTTTGGGGAGCTTGCAGGGTGTGGGGCGGGGGAGTGTGGCAAGGAGGTCTGTGTGGAGGAGGGCTCCTGTCTGAGTTTTTGGAATGAATGAGTTTTGCTGAGCTGAGGTGAGCTGGGGCCCAGTGAGTTGAGTCCTGGCTCTGTCCCATGGTGATACTGGCCCAGTGACTCGGCAGCACTGAGCTAACCCCTTACTGTCCAACTTCTGGTCTGTTTCTAGCCCTCCCTACAAAGAAGAGGAGTTACTGTCATCGCCACTGTCAGCCTCTCCTCAGCCAGAACCTGAGGAGCCCTGGGTCACCTTCCCCCGGGAGCCTCCCCAGCCTCCTTCTCCTAGCCTCCCAGATATCCCCCCAAAGCCTCTTCACCGGTTCCCAGAGTTCGGTGAGTGCCATAGCCAGGCCTGGGGCTCTGAGTGGGTGCCCTGGGCTTTGGCCCTCAAGGAGCTGAAAGGATGCAAGGTTTGCACCCCTGTTCTGTTGGGCCCTGCCACTGACCCCCAGTGTGGCCCCGGACAGGTAAGCATCATTTCCTTCATTCTCAAAATGGGGGCAGCACCCACTTATTTGACCTACTTATCTGACCAGGTGCAGGCACATGGCAAACTTTCTGAGTTGCCCATGGTTTGGGGAGGGGGGTTGTTTTCCATGGTCATGGTTGGTTTGCCCCTGAGGATTGTCCACGTCTCTTGATTCTCAATTCATGTTGCTTTTTTGAATAGTTCCCGCCCCTGATCCCCAAGCTTGCCACCTCTTCAGACCTCCCTGTGGTGGCCAGGCACCCCCTAGTGACGTCCTGTGAGGTCCCAAGAGTATAAATAGCACTTCCTGTCCCCTGTGCCTTCTTTTGAAAGCCAGGCCAGTTGGGGGTGGGGGTCTCTGGCTGAGGATGGCCTTTGTGAAGCCAGGCCCAGGGGCCCAGGGGCCCGGAAGGGGAGGCCAGGCTCCTTGCATCTAAGTCTCCCCCCACCCATTTCTCTCCCCAGATGACCCTGACTACGATGAGACCCCAGAGGAGGGGCCAGGAGCCCCAGCTGGCGTGATGACCAAGAAGGTGGGGCAGGTGGTGGTTAGGGCTGTCTGCTGTCCGTGTGAGGCCAGGCTGCTCAGCTGCCTGCAGGCCCTGGGACCACCAGATAGAGAAGGGGCAGCTGTTCCAGGAGAGTTCCCTTCCCCCTTCATTGTCTTGCCATGCAAGGTCAGGGGTCAGGCACAGGGTCACAAATCCCAATGCTGGGCCAGAAATCTGGGGGGTCTGGTTTGTGGCTCCAGCTCCAGTCTTCAGCTGCATGTGGATGGCTGTGGGTGGCCTCTTCTCTCCTTGGTGCTTTAAGCATAGCTGTTGTAGAGATCTGTGCCTCTGTCTTTGTTTCACTTTCTGTGTTCCAGTGTCACCCTCTCTCTGAGTGTCTTAACTCTCCACCCCTGAGTCTTTCTATTTTTGTTTTGTTTTGTCTTTGATCTGCCTGGTGTGGCCCTGTCTCCCTCGGCCCCAGTGGGAAGAGGGGGAGTGTGAGGAAATGAGGAAGAGTGCTAAGTTGTGTGGGTCCAGAATGGAGTGGACAGAAGGGAGTGTGGCAGCCCCTGAGTAGGTGTTATCTGGGGCTTGAAGGGAAACATGACACTGAGTGGGTCTGGGCCGGGGGGCAGGAGGAGCTTCCAGTGAGCCGAGTCCCACGTGCCGTGCGTGTGGCCAGTCTGCTGAGCGAGGGGGAGGAACTGTCGGACGACCAAGGGGATGAAGAAGAGGATGACCAGGCCTACGAGGGCATCCCCAAGTGAGTGTCCACTTTGTTTGGGTGGCTCTCCCATCCAGCTCCCCCATCTCTGAGCCCCTACCCCACTGGAGCCCCCACCTCAGCCCGCCTCATTCCCTTTCCTCTTCCTCTAGTGGTGGATGGCACACCAGCCACCTGAGCTCATCCGTGCCCAGCAGCCTCCTGAGCCCCCAGCTCCCACCCCATCCCATGGATCGACTGCCCGGGGGCCCCACCCCCATCGCACAGGTCATCAAGTCTGGCTGGTTGGACAAGAACCCACCGCAGGGGTGAGTGAGGCCTGTTGGGTCCTGCTGGTGCTTTGCACGGGGTGCATATTGTTCTATGCTGGTGTCATGGATCTGAAAATCAGAGGGATCAAGGTTATTCGAGCAGGACTCCCTCCATGCAGACTAACCACTGATGATCCCCACAAGACCTATGTTTTATTACTCTTAATATCGGGAAGTCCTACTCTGAGTCCAACTTCAGTCACTCCAGCTGTAGGTAAAGTCCATGTTCTCAGTGACTATTTGGGATTTTTCCTCTTTTGGACCTGGCTGTACCTAACTTTGTACATGGCTGGTTGAGGGGGCTAGGATAATCCTAGAGCCCTTCTCCTAATCCCCAATCCTTTGCTCTGTTGCCCTCTGCCTCTGCCTCTCCAGATCTTATATATATCAGAAGCGATGGGTGAGACTGGATGTCGATTACCTGCGATACTTTGATAGTAACAAGGTAAGGCCCGTGTTGATCCTGATGCGACCTCCTGTTCCAGCCTGGCCCGACATGGGACCCAGGCAGAGTCCCTCCCCAGATGGGTCCTCCCCAGAGCTCTAGTCTGACTCCTTAAACCATGTTCTTCTGGTTTAAGGAGAAGAACAGCTGGGGGGCTGTGGTCAGGGTCAAGGTACGGGTTGTCCCTGACCGCCTGTGGGAAATGGGGATATAGCCTTCATTTCAACTGAGGTTGAGGGAGTCAGGGGGTGCTGGGCCTCGGGACCCTCCACAGTACAGCTCCTCTCTCTTCCCAGGACGCCTACTCTAAGCGCTTTATCTCTGTGGCCTGCATCTCCCGCGTGGCCGCCATTGGGGACCAGAAGTTTGAAGTGATCACGAACAACCGGACCTTTGCCTTCCGGGCAGAGAGTGATGGTGGGGAGTGGGACCAGCAGAACACTAGCAGTTTGGCTTGATAAGGGCGGGGAGGACCAGGGCACATCTGCTTCTCCCACATAAAACCCAGAGAGGAGCCAACCCTCTGTGAGATGGGGGATGAATGGGGGTACCCTCTGAGGCTCTGTGCTTGAGATACCCACCGAGTCCTCATTATCAGATTCCATTTACAGGGGGAAATGGGCTCAGATAGGCAAAGCGGGCTTGCCCAGTTTCAGCCGTCACAGCTGGGATCGGAGCCTGAGGTTGGCTCACGGAATTGGTGCAAGTCAGAGAACTCAGTATAGTCAGAGATAGGTGGCCAGCCTGGGCAGGCTTTCTTGTTCTTAGAGGGCCCCCTGCCAAGCTGAGCTCTGGCTTACTTCTTCCCGTTTGCCCACAGCGGAGCGGAAGGAGTGGATGCAGGCCCTGCAGCAGGCAGTGGCTGAGCAGCGTGCCCGGGCCCGGCTATCTAGTGCTTCTCTGTTGGGTGTTCAAGGCTCAGAGCTGCCTGACCGTGCTGGCAGCCTGGAGCTGCGTGGCATCAAGAATAAACTGTATGTGGCTGTGGTTGGGGACAAAGTGCAGCTTTACAAGAATCTGGAGGTACGAAGGGGTGGGCCAGGCTGCTAAATCTCTCCCCTGCCCCATGCCCGCTCTGGTCCTTTAACCCCACCCCATGCCCACCCGGTCCCTCACCCTCTCCCTTGTCTACCTGGTCCGTTAGCCTTGTCCCAAGTCCACCTGGTCCTTCAGCCTCTTTCTTACCCATCTGGCCATTTAGTCCTGTTTTTTTTTTTTTTTTTTTCCTTTTTCTCTTTCCTTTTCCAAGCCAGCCCTGTCTTCCTTTTTGCCTTTAGTTCTGATTCCATCCCCTGCCTGGTCCCTGAGTATTACCCTCCCATCCTATTGTTATATGGCCTCCGAGCCTGAGTACCTTTACCCAGGCCCAGATCCCTGATCCCCCCGCTTATCTCCTTTATAGCCACTTTCTAATTCCGAAGGCACCACCTCCCCCTCCTCTCTACCCCTTCCTGGGCCTTGAGCTCCACCCTCCAGGCCTTGCCCTCATTCCTTCTCACTTGCCTGCCAGGAGTACCACCTGGGCATCGGCATCACCTTCATCGACATGAGCGTGGGCAATGTGAAGGAAGTGGACCGGCGTAGCTTCGATCTCACTACCCCGTACCGCATCTTCAGGTGAGCCTCCATTGCTCACCCGCGTCCTCACTCCCTCTCACTGTTTTCATTTTGTGAGAAGCTGCCCCTTCTTGTGGGGTGGATTTCTCCTCCCTTCCCTGCCCTGCCCACCCCTGCTGGACCTTGACCTTCACTTGCTAACCTGCTCTGACCTCTCTCTTTTAAGAAATCTCACTCTTGCCCTACCCACCTCTGGCTATCATTGTCCCCCTTCCCTGCCAACTGCTCCCAGAGTTGCCCATACTGACTTTCTGCACCACCCACTCACCCTGCTGTCCCTCTAGTCTGCCCTGCTCCCTCAAAAGTGTTCATCTGACATCGGTACTTGCTTGAGAGAAAAGGCTGCTCTTCCCTCCTGTCTCCTGGGACCTGTCCTGGGGACTACTTCCTGAACCTCTAAGACTCTACCATCTTGATTTCCTGGACCTCAGCTGTCTCTCTGTGGTCTGTGTCTGTCCTTTGTCCCCTTCCTGATCGGGCCTAAACTGGCAGTCAGGCATCCCTCTCACAATCCTGGACTGCTGGCTCTTACTCGCTCACCTGCCTGCCTGCCCACCCCTGCCTGCCTGGTCGCCCTAACTGCCTCCTGCTGCTGGCCAGGTCACCCCCAATTGCCCCCTCCCTGCTGGCCTGGTCACTCCTAACTGCCCCTCTCCCACCAACCTGGTAGCCTCTTACTGCCCCCCTGAACCCACCCCCCGCCGGCCTGGTCGCCCCACGTAGCCTGCTTATTCAGTTGTTCAGGCGTCCCTCACTAACCCCCGTGCCAGTCTGGTCGCCCCACACAGCCTGCTTGTTCAGTTGTTTGGTCATCCCTCCCTAACCCCCCTGCCGGTCTGGTCGTAGGCAACCATCTTGTGAGGGTGTGAGGGTTAATTTGCATATTATCTCTTTATTATATAGGATTTCTTGTCTTTGAGGTAATTTTTGATGACATCCTTGGCCTGAGATTCTTACCATCATCCTTAATTACCACATAACTGCAACCACTCACTTTCTGGAGTTTTCCGTCTCTGTCGGTGTTACAGGGCCTGCCCATTCACCGAGTTCCTTGTCATCAGCCTTAATTCAGTTGACTTGGTGTTCAGCACCAAGGGTGTCCACCAACCTGGCACATGTAGGCTCATGCCGTTGGATGCAAGCACATGAAGACGGGCTTAGCACCTGGCTAAGGCCTTGGCGGCTTCGCAGATTCCACTGCTGGGCCTTCGTGGATGAGGGTGGCTGGTCTTCAGCGCCTCTCATAAAGCAGCATTAGCAATCCATTACATCTGCAGCAGCAACACCTTCTTGGGCCATGGCGGTGGATTACGGGTGGAGCCGAATCGTGAATGTACACACTCGACTTCAGGACGAAAGGGAAAGAAAGAGCCAGAGGGGAAGACATCTCCTCCTCCCCCCACTGAAACCCTCCACTGCTTCTCCATTGTCCTCTGGGTGCATTCTGCCTGGCACAGGCCTGTCCCTATCTGTCTCCCAGCCTTCTCTCTGCCAGCCTGCCCATCCTGCCCACAGGTCCTAGAATCTTCCATGTGCCATCCTGTCCCTTTGCACATGGTGTTCCCTCTAGCCAGGTGTCATTTCTTCCCAGCCGCCTTCTCTACTCCCTGGGTGGGACAGAGCCCCTCGGGACTCCGCCAGCCCTCACACATCTCAGGTTCACTGTCCTTGCCTTTGCCACACCCACCTTCCTCACTGACCCAGGACGACTCCCTCTTCTGACAATGAGCTCTCAACACTAACCATCTCTGGAATGCTCTCCTTGCTCCTCCAGCTTCATGCTGTGCCCCTTTATGCTGCCCCCAAATCCTTCTGAGCCCTTCCCACCAGCCTCTCTCCTCCCATCCCTATGTCTCCAGCTTCTCAGCCGAAACAGAACTAGAGAAGGAGCAGTGGCTGGAGGCCATGCAGGGAGCCATTGCCGAGGCCCTGTCTACCTCAGAGGTGGCCGAGCGCATCTGGGCCGTGGCCCCCAACAGATTCTGTGCCGACTGCGGGGCTGCCCAGCCTGACTGGGCCTCCATCAACCTCTGTGTCGTCATCTGCAAGCGCTGTGCAGGTGTGTCTGGGGTGGCGCACTGGGCCAAGGCATGACAGGGCTGATGTGTCTGGTGGCAGGAGGTCTGTCTGGCTGGAGGGACGAGTGAAGATAGCAGTCAGATTGTTTAGGGGCACCTGTGTGCCAAGCCTCGCCCACTGGGATTGCAAGGCAGGCATTTAACTTCTCACATCATGGGTGGGGCACTGAGGCATCGACAGGGAAAGTACCTCGTTGGGGGTCCTTGGGCAAGTAAGTGAGTGCATTTGAGCCCAGGCCTCTTGGGGTCCAGCACCCCTGGCCCCCTCAGAAGAGTGGGAGGAGGCCATGTAGGAGCAGCTGGCAGGGGCCAGGTGGAGGGAGGAGCTGATGCTTCATCCAGAGGGGGATGGCAGGCAGCGGAGGGGAGGACTTGGTCAGATTTGTGCAACAGACTCTGGCAGGTTGGAAGCTGAGTTAGAGGGAGTGACACTGGAGACTAAGAAGGAGGCAGCTGCTGGAGCTGAGAGAGGAGGAGGAGGCCTGGTCTGGGGAAGCGATGGAGAGCATTCCGGAGATGGTTAGGATCTATGGTGTAAAATTTCCAGCGGCAGATTAGATGAGGAGGATGCGAAAGAAAGAGGTTGGAACTCAAGATTCATTCATCTACTCAGTCAGCATTTATTGAGGGTCTGTGATGTGCCAGGCACTGTGTGAGGTGCTGGGGACTTGGCCCCCTTAGGAGCTGACCATGCCCAGGTGGGGATCCGGGGGAGGAACAGTTTGGGAAAGTTTCCGAGCTCAGTGAAAAGCCCCGAAGCCTGTGGAACATCTAGGGCAGACGTCCAGGAGACTTTGAGCTCTGAGATCTGGGTGCAGAAAAGGAACGACTGGGTTGGAGACCAGCTTAGGAAAGCATCAGCTCATGGAGGTTGAGGGTGCCTGGGGTGCAGAAGCAGGTCTGAGCCAGGCAGTTCCAGGCACTCCTAGTGCCCCCAGCCCCCTCTCTTCTACACGGGTCTTTTGTGGGTCCCGTAGGGAGCAAGGTTGTATCCCCGACTCCCCCTCCCCTTTCACTCCACAGAGATTTATGAAGCGCTCACTATGTGCCACTTTGTCTTGGGCTCTGAGATTAGACCCTAAAGCAGACAATCAAGGTTCTTGCTCTCAGGCAGCTTACGTTCTAGAGGGGAGAGACCGAAAATACATACACAAACGAACAGAAGTGCTAGGCAGAAAATATGTGGTAAGCCCTCTCCCCATGTCAACTGAGATTTAATTGTCAGGAACAGGCCTTGGGGAGTTGGGGGAAGAGAATCCAGGCAAAAAGAACAGTGAGTGCAATGCCCTGAGGCAGGAAGGGGCTGGAAGATTAGAAGAGGGAAGAAAATGTGGCTGAGTGGGATAGAGGGAAACATGAGATGAAGTTGGAGAAGAAGCAGGTAAGGAATTTATAACTAATTCTGGGAACCATTGGAGGGGTTTGCAGGGAGTCAAGACTGGCCATAGGAAGCCAGCTGGGGGCTGCTGCAGGAGCCCAGGTAATGACTGCGGATTCAGTCCTGTGGTGCAGGGAGCAGTGGTCTGTAGCTGGATTCTGGAGCTGTGTGGGGTGGAGCTGCAGGCCTAGCCCCTGGGTCCTGCCTGTGGCCTCTCCCAGTCTGCCCCTGTATGAGCACTGGGGGTTGGAATGGGGAAGGAGGTGAGTGCTTTATGCAGGAAACGGCCCAGAGGACTCAAGTCTGGCCCTCTGTCTACAGGGGAGCACCGTGGCATGGGTGCTGGCGTTTCCAAGGTACGGAGCCTGAAGATGGACAGGAAAGTGTGGACAGAAACACTCATCGAGGTGGGAGGCCCCTGCTTTTCACCTGTATTGGGGACCTAGCTGCTGCCTGGGTCTCCCAGTTCCATCTCCTCCATCTCCCAGACCCCAGCACTCTAGAGCTAGAAGAGACCTTTGGGATCATCTAGTGGGTGTGGATTTTGGAAAAGCTGATTTTTGGCAGGCAGCAAACTGAGCTAAGAATGTTATTACAGTTTTAAAGGGTTGTTAAAAAAAAAAAAAAGACTATACAACTGACACTTTGTGTCCTGCAAAACCGTAACTATTTACTTCATTTCACCTCTCCTCACATGTGCCAGTGGATATGAGGTTGATGCTTAGGGGCACACACTCACATGTACATGTACTGATGGTGGTAGTTACAGGGGAGAACCTGCAACAGAAGGCTGGACTAACAGCCCAGCTCAGCTGCAGGCTCCAGAGCAATTTGGGTGTCACGTCCCTTGTGAGTTAGGGTTAGAGTCTGCAGCTCATAGATGCAGAGATAGAAGCCCAGGGAGAGAAAAACGACTTGCCTAAAGTCACAGAGTGAGTCAGCAGCAGCAGGGACTGTTTCTGCATTCTAGCACCCCACACAAGACCTGACAAAGAGGCAAGGGGAGGTGGGCAGGAAATGGCAGTGGAACAGAGAATCAGCAGAGTGAAAGAATGAAAAACTAGTACCCTGAATGCTAGACCCCTGCAATCCTCTGGAATCTGCCCTTGTCCCTCTTCCCCTGGAGGAGCCCAGGTGGTGATTGTAGGGCTCTGTCCCAGGAACAGGGGTGTGTCTGGATTCTGGAGCTATGTGGGGTGGAGCTGCAGACCCAGCCCCTGGGGAATGTCTAAGGATATTGGACAGAATATGGTTCCAGAATCCCTGTTCACCCCATTGGCTGTCAGCTTAGCCAGCCCTCCCCCAGCTGTGATAGCCTCAAGAATGCAGAGTTCCAGATGTGGGACTGGGTGGGGAAGTAGCAAGGCCCCCAACCAGAAGCCAGGCCTGGGATGTTTACCTTCAGACTGTCTGCCTCTTGTCCTTTCACTGAGCTGAGGAGTTGGGCTCAGGACCAGGGTTGGTGAGGGAGCACCCCAGGCCACCAACAAGCAGCCAGCCCCTCAGCTTCCCTGATGGGAGAGTGGGTGGGTGGCCTGGCTCTCCCAGCCATAAGCCTGACAACCTCAAAACCAAGATTTTGCAGGTTACGGGGCCCCTGGTCCTAGGCTGTCTCTAACCTCTTGTCCACACCTGTAGCTCTTCTTACAGCTGGGCAATGGCGCCGGGAACTGCTTCTGGGCAGCCAGTGTGCCTCCCAGTGAGGCCCTGCAGCCCCACAGCAGCTCCGATGCCCGGCGGCGCCACCTGGAGGCCAAATACCTCGAGGGCAAGTACCGCCGTTACCATCCACTCTTTGGCAACCAGGAGGAGCTGGACAAGGTCAGGTCACTGGGCTTCTGGGGCCCCTTAAGAGCAACCCCTTTTCCGTACACTGTCAGGGCCCGTTGAGACCACCCCCTTTCTTCTTGTCCACACATTTCTCACCATCATAGCCCATCTTTTCCACCAGCTCTGAGTGATGAGCTGGCCTATGGAGAAACTAAGGCCCAGAGGGCGGATGGGCTGTACCTAAGCTACAGGGAGAGTTGAGGCAAAGAAAGGAGGAACCAGGCCTGACCCTTGGACTAAGACCACATCCCAGCATCTGTCTGCCTCCCTCCCCTGCCGATTCCTCTGTCTCCCGCACCCTGTCCTGCTCCTTCTTTATCCTGCCAAAAGGAGTGAACTTGATGGGGATGCTATTTCCTGTCAGGCTCATGAAAAACAGCTGGTCGCTCTGACCACCCCCATCCACACCCCACTCAAGATGAGGCCCCCGTATGGGCCTCAGGCCCTGACAGGCTAGGAGCCAAGCCCTGGGTCCTGCTGGCTCTGCCTGAGTGGGAGGTAGTCTGCTTCAAGGCAGGGGGATGCCACTTGTGACCTCTTGTGGGCCTGCAGCCCCTCCCCCAAGAAGCCCCACCCCGGAGGCTCAGTCCAGCTAGAAGCCCAGTGGGAGCCAGGCCTTTACCTCCCAGGCACCCAGGCGTCCAGCCCCCAGTCCAGCCCAGTCTGACTTGCCAGCTAGGAGGGGCGGCAACTCCCATTGGTCCGGAGGGATGGGCAGGCGGTGAGGAATTCAAATGTGGGAGGAATTAGCTACAAAGCAACCCCCTCTGCCCTTCCACAAGGCAGAGGGAGCTTGAGCTCCTCCTGAGAGCAGGCCTGGCAGCTGACAGGGTCCTGGGGCTGCAGCAGGGGTGAGCCCTGGGTGCTGGGATCCTGGTCTCTGCTGGGCAGCCTCTGTCCACCCTCTCTCCCTGGGCTTTTCTCTTCCTCCTCCTCTCTTCTGTTTTTCTTCCTCCGTCTTCTCTCTTCCAACTTGCGGATGGGTCCCCCTAGACCTGGGTGCCTCCTTCCTCATCCTTCCTATCTCTTCCCCCCATACTCTCCTTCCCCACTGGCCCCACACTCCTGCTGGGACTGACCCTTTCCTCCCTCCTCGCCCCTCCCAGGCCCTGTGTGCCGCAGTCACTACCACAGACCTGGCCGAGACCCAGGCGCTCCTGGGCTGTGGAGCTGGGGTCAATTGCTTCTCAGGGGACCCAGAGGCTCCCACACCCCTAGCTCTTGCCGAGCAGGCGGGGCAGACACTGCAGATGGAATTCCTTCGGAACAACCGGACCACAGGTGAGCAACTGGTGGGGCAGTCCTTGAGGGATGGTGCTGGGGCCTGGGCCTTTGGAAGGGATGCCAGTGGGGTCTGGGGGCGGTGTGTCTCCTTGTGAGGTTTGATTACATACCACTCCAGCTGTAATTGCAGCTCCTTGAGGGTCCTGATATAACAATGTGTGTGGTTTTGGGGTGTGTTTGGGTTTGCATGTTAGTATCTGTGCATCTGGCTTCTTCTTTATACATGTGTCCCTTTGTGTCTCTGTCTCTGCATCTTTGTGTCTTTGTGGGTCTCTCCCTGACCTGTAGTGTGGGCCTTCAGCACTGCATCTGTGTGTCTCTGAGTTGCTATGGATCTGTTTCTGTGTACCTGGGAGTGTTGAGGGCTTTGGGCTTTGTGCAGACTGTCTATTTTGCTATGTCGGTTTTGCTGTGTGTGGGGGGGGGATGGGAGGTGGGAGGACTGCGGGGCGGGGGTATTACATTTCTCCATGTGCAGGTGACCTCTAATAGCAGCCCTGTCCACTGCTCTGTCTGGGTGTCTGTCACAGACGGGTTGGGTTCCATTTTGCTTCTGCTCTTGGGGTGGATGAGGAGGAGACAGTGGGGTTGAGGGCTGCTGGTCATGGCCCAGCGCTGGCCTCTGGGGCCACATCCTAGGACTGAGGCTGGAGCTCCTCGGCCAAGGCTCCGGGCTCAGGGCCATGGGTGGGTGGGGCGCGCTGGGCTGGAGAGAGCCCAGGTGTCCAGGGAGACACAGGAGACCACCCAGCTGGCTCGGGCTTTGGGACTGAAGCAGCCAGGCTGCTTCCTTAGGCTTTGCATCATCAGGGATAAACCTCCCTTTGGGAATTGTTATCGAGTTTGCCCAAGGCCCCCCTCATTCTAGCGTGCTGGCCCTTTGCCTCAACAGGCAGCAGGGAGGGTGGGGTGGGCCGGGCTGGGGAGTCAGGGAGACTTCCTGGTACTGGAGCTGGGCCTTGGGGGCAGGGTGGAATTTGCACATGAGGGGGAGAATTGGAGAACGGCTGGGGCAAAATCCTGGATGTGGCAGTGAGATCCTGAGTGTTAGTCAGGGATCCGGGTCTGGTGACTTAAAGGCGAGCTTGGATGCCCAACCCAGGTGTGGGTGATGGGCTGCCCCTTGGATGGCAAGTATGACCAGCCTTTCTGCACCCCCAACCCCTTCCCCAAAGAGGTACCTCGGCTGGATTTGATGAAGCCCCTGGAAAAGCACTACTCTGTTGTCCTGCCAACTGTGAGCCACAGTGGCTTCCTCTACAAGACCGCTTCTGCTGCCAAGCTGCTGCAGGACCGCCGTGCCCGGGAAGGTGGGTGCCTGGGAAGGTGCCATTCTGGCATGGCAGCAAGGCCAGAAAAGCCAGTGCTGGACAGGTTGGTGGGCCCATGAGGGTGCCATGTGCACCCTGGCAGAGTCAACCTGGAGGGCTTCCCAGAGGTGGTCTCTGGTACACAGTAGGTGCTTAATAAATGGCATGATCAGGATGTAAGTAGGGCACAGCTCTGTAGAGCCAGCACTGCCTGTTTCCTTTGGACTAAAGAAGCCTTTATTGAACACCTGCTGGTATGGGCCCTGTGCTGGGCATCTGGCATTTGGAGTTGGTGGATATTAGGAAGTTTGAGGACTAAGCTTAAAGCACCGTCCCTCTCTTATCTCAGTCTTCCATTTGCTCACCAATTCTGAGTATATACACGGTCCTTACACTCCCTACGAGCACCTCCATGTCATGCTCCATTACCTCCCTGACCTCGCTCCCCTCCTCACTCTACTCCAGCCTTACTGGCCTTGCTGGTTCTCAGACATGCACACTCACGCCCACCAGGGCCTTTGCACTCACTAGCCCTCGGCCCAAAATGCTTTTCTCCAAGTATCTGCATGGTCAGTCCCTCACTTCGTTCGGGTCTCTGTTTAAATGTCACTCCTTAAAGACTTCATCCTGAACCATTTTATCCAAAATAGCCCTCCCTATTGACCCTGCTTTCATCCTACTTTCCTACCATTTATCTGACATTAATCTGTTTATAGGTCTGACTATTGATTCTCTGTGCCCCACTGAAACATAAGCTCCTCTTGGTCACCATTGTAGCCCCAAGCCTAGAACAGTGCCTTGTACCCAGTGGGCACTTACTTGGCAAATGTCTGCGGGCTGAAGGGTGACTGAGGCAAGGCTGGTCCTTAGAGGGAGCTCAGCCTTGGGGGCAGCTTCTGGGACACATCACCCTCAGGGGGCAGTGCCATGCTCTTGTAGGTAGGATGAGAGACAGATCCACGGTGGGAACACTGTCAAGACCATTGCTCACCGCATCCCTCATTATCCCCTGTTGAGGCCCTCCAACTCCCAGAGAGATTTCTTTGGAGTCTGTGCTGCACATCCCCTCACTCTCCCTGAGGCACCGTCCAGTCTACCTCTCTCTGCCTGCGGGTGTCATTTATGTAGCTGCCTGAGTCATCCTTTTTTGTCCTGGGTTCCAGGAAGCCCTGAGCCAGTGTAAAGTTCAATGCTTCATGAGTCTGAATGACCTTGACATTCTGTTCTTTCTCCTGCCTTTCCTGGCCCAGATTCCTATTCCTGTTCCTTTATGGAATCTTGTCAGAGTCCTTGGAGCAATTATAAGGGGAGGCAGGGTATAGAGTAATGGGTGCTGCTGGCAAAGGAAGGTGGGTGCAGGAGAGGGAGGGGCACATGGAAGGCTTCTTATGGCGTTTGAACTGGCTTTGAAGGATGATGGATGCAGGGAGGGAACAGGATGAGAAAAGAAGGGAGGTGGGGTATGTGCCCAGAAAGGGGGCTGGAGAGGTGGGAACAGGCAGACCCAGCAGGGCCTTGAATACCAGACCGAGGGCCACAGACTTTGTTCTGAGGACAAGGGGGTGGGATGGGGAATGGAAGAGTTTTGAGCTGAAGAAGGACAGAATCTGGTTTTGCTAGAGCACTTTTTTTTTAAATTAATCTTCACCCAAGGATATTTTTTCCATTGATTTTTAGACAGTGGAAGAAGGAGGTTGGGGAGAGAGAAAGGGAGTCAATGATGTGAGAGACACATCAATTGGTTGCCTCCCACATGCGCCTCAACTAGGGCTGGGGATTGAACCTGCAACCCAGGTACATGCCCTTGACTAGGAATTGAACCCAAGACCCTTTGGTGTGCAGGGCAGCACTCTAACCACTGAGCACACTGGCCAGGGCTGGATCACTTTTGACTCTTGGAAGAAGCGAGGCTGGAAGAGCAGTGAAGAGGCCACTGCAGTGGTCCCGGGGAGAGGCTGGGCTGGGCTGGGCTGGGTCACAGGGCTGCAGAGAGGAGGGTGGGATTGGGGGGAGCTTGTGAGTTAGAATGAAGAGGACATGGACCAGGTAGGTGTGGGAGCCCAGGGAGGATGCAAAGGTGGATTTTAGGTGAGGGTGGGTGGCTCTCTCATGGTTCCCCTGACCAATTTCTCCCCAGAGTTCAGCCGGCGCTGGTGTGTCCTTAGTGACGGGGTCCTGAGCTACTATGAGAATGAGCGGGCAGTGACCCCCAACGGGGAGATTCGGGCCAGCGAGATTGTGTGCCTGGCAGTGCCCCCTCCTGACACCCACGGGTGAGCACCGCTGGGCAGAATCATAGGCTATTATTCCTATAAGATCTAACCCCCCACCATTACCCCGTTGGGAAGAAGCCCAGAGAGGGGCAGGACCTCCTCAGAGTCACACAGCCCCCTGAGGCCCCACCTTGGGCTTTCCCACCAACTCTTAGGGGGCCAGGTGAAGGGCACTCACAAGGGCAGTCATGGGGTGGGGCAGAGAGTAGCAGTGATGGGGGGCTGGGCTGGGGGGTGGGGGCTGAATCCTGGCCTGTGTATCTACAGCTTTGAGCACACCTTTGAGGTGTACACGGAGGGAGAGCGACTGTATCTGTTTGGACTGGAGAGTGCAGACCTGGCTCGTGAGTGGGTCAAGTGCATTGCTAAGGTGGGCCTGGGTAGCAGGAGGTGGGAGGGAGTCCTACAGGGCGTATGGTGGGACCTCCTGGTGGATCCCATATATGCCAGCTCCCCCAGGATGGAGGGCAGCCGACACAGGGAAGGCTCTCAGGCCCAGGGCCAAGCACAATCTGCAGCACTCTGTGGCCCAGAAACCTGTCTCAACGATGTGGGCCTTGTACTCCATAGATGCTCAATACATGTGTAATAATGAATGGCAGGCAGAGCCGTCTTAGGATGGACAGTGCTGACTCCCGTGGTCTCCTTGTCCTGGAGGAAGAGGCAGGGAGCCTGCAGAGGAGAGCTCTGCCCTGGGGACTCCAGCCAGGCTCCTCTGGGGTCCCCGTGCTATGAGGGCCGGTGACTTATCATTCCCTTGGTCATTGCTCAGTCGTTTGTGGGGCTCCTGATGGTCATTCCTCAGAGCCGTGGGGACCCAGATGAATGTCTTGGTCCTGGCTCTTCAGGTGCTCCATGCTGATGGGGAAGACAGATGGGTCCGGATAGCAATGACAGTATAATCAGTGCCACAGCAGAGGGTAGGGAAGCTTTGGCACCCTGGGGCACAGAGAAGGACATCCTTCTCTCATGTCGGGATGTTTTCCAGAGGAGGGCACATCTGAGTGGGTCTGATATGGGGCATAATACACCTGAGTTCATCCTCTCTGCTGGGTTCTGCCCTGGGGAAGACAGAGGAGGCAGCTGGGTGGGCAGTGGGCATGCACCCACAAGCCAAGGTGTCTGGGCAGGTAGTGCTGATGGCCGCAGCAGTTTCTGGTCTTCCCCAACAGGCGTTCGTGCCTCCCCTGGCTGAGGATCTGCTGGCCCGGGATTTTCAGCGGCTTGGGCGCCTACCCTACAAAGCTGGTCTGAGCCTGCAGCGGGCCCAGGAGGGCTGGTTCTCTCTCACCGGCTCCGAGCTCCATGCCATCTTCCCAGAGGGGCCTTGCGAGGAGCCATTGCAACTGCGGAAACTGCAGGAGCTTTGTGCGTGGATCCAGCCCTGGGGCCCCAACCTGCAGGGCACCGGATCCTGGGCTCCCAGGCTCCCAGCCCCTCCCTGGAAGTCTGAATGCTACCCTGTGGCCCCATATGCTGGCGGGTGGGTCCTGGGGGTGTGAGTGTTCAGAGAGCCTCAGGAGGGAGCAAGTTGGGGACCATGAACAAGGCCCAGGCCTCACTTCTCCTGGCTCCTCCACAGCCGTCCAAGGGGACAGCGAGAACCAGGTGTTGGTGCTGGTGGAGAGAAGGAGGTGAGTGAGCCCTGGCCTCCCCGAGGGGCTCTGAGAAGCCTGGGAGGGCGGGGCAGGATTAGACCCCTAAGTGACTGACCGTCCCTGTGAAACATACAGGACACTGTATATCCAGGGAGAGCGGCGACTGGACTTCGCGGGCTGGCTGGGGTCCATCCAGAAAGCAGCGGCCAGCTCGGGGGATACGCTGTCGGAGCAGCAGCTGGGAGACTCGGACATCCCCGTGATAGTGTACCGCTGCGTGGACTACATCACGCAGTGTGGTGAGCCCTGTCCCAGGGGCCAAGCCGCACCTTCCCAGAGTCCCCGTGAAAGTAGCTGGGAGGCCCCACCCCATGACCAATGCCTTAGGCCCTCAGTTTTGTCCACCCCCAGCTCAGCCCCACCCCTCTCCAGGCCTGACCTCCGAGGGAATCTACCGCAAGAGTGGACAGACTTCGAAGACACAGCAGCTGCTGGAGAGCCTGCGGCAGGATGCTCGCTCTGTGCGCCTCAAGGAGGGCGAGCAGCATGTGGACAATGTCTCCTCGGCCCTCAAACGCTTCCTGCGAGACCTGCCTGATGGGCTCTTCACACGAGCCCAGCGCCTCTTCTGGCTGGAGGCTTCAGGTGGGCTCTACATCCGTGCCTAGTGAGATCCAGGCCAGTGCTGCTGACTTGTCCATTCCTGTCTCAGGATTCCAGCCCCTCCCCAGTATGCACTTGGGCTAAACGTGCCCCAGCAGGCAGCCTCCAGTCCCCCTCCCTCCTGTTTCTCATTCCTATTGTCACTCTATACGTTGCTGGCAACTCCTGAGTGCCTGGTAGGATTTGCCCTGGAGGGGGCAGGGAGTACTGTTTCCTGGGGTAAGAGGCAGAGCAGCCAGAGGGTTGGGATGGGGGGGTGGGTGTGGTTACGGATGGAGGGGGCAGGGAGGGTCCTGACCTCATCTATCTTCCCCAACCCAGAGATTGAGGATGAGGAGGAGAAGATCTCCAGGTACCGAGGGCTCCTGGCACGTCTGCCACCAGTCAACCGGGCCACAGTGAAGGCCCTTATCAGCCATCTGTACTGGTGAGGAGCACTACTATTCCAAGGCTCGGGGGGGAATGAAGTAGAAAAGATTCTTCTATCCCAGCCCTGTTGACTGCCCTCCCCTGGGAACCAGATAGGCCTGGGAACTGAGTGTTGACTTATGAGGTGCCCTAATCTTGGACACTTTGTCTCCCAACTTCCTGCAGTTGGGAGAATAGAGACCTTGGCCAGGTCTCCAGCTTCCCAGCCCTACTCTTCCCAAGGACCCAAGACATGGCCAAAAAGATTGTCCCCATTTCCTCTTAATTAGCTCTGCTCCGACCAGGATCTTTCCTGGGCTCTCTCCAGTCACAGTCCTGTCAGGAACTGGGGAGGTGAGGTGGGCCAGACTCCTCACTCAAAGCCTCCGTCCTTCCCTGTCCAGTGTCCAGTGCTTCTCCGACACGAACCAGATGAACACACACAACCTGGCCATCGTGTTTGG